ATCAGTATTCTAACAAACTAGCCACTGACAGCCCCCTTCCTCTTCCTTGGCCTATCCTCACACCTTACTTATGCACACTTACATGAACTACACAATCACCTGCAGACAGGCCAGTTGGGAGCGTGTCCTGGCTGCGGCGATGTTCCACTGGTGGGAGATACCTGGTTCTGGAAGGTAAGTTCATCGCCACCTCCCGAAGGAAAAATTTGCTCTACACCCAAGGGACCAATGACCTCAGCAGTTGACGCACCAAGAATCACTAATCAATTAAATTAATCAATCATCTTGCACTGCTCCTGCCTCCTGTCGCGCTCTTCCCCCTTTGCTACGATCATCGTTGCTACTACCGTCATTGCTACTGTAAAGATGCTGCAGATGTAGTATGGCATGCTTCAAGCAAAATACCCGTAACAATTCTGTCCTTCAATTATGCACAGCGTACTTGCGCTATCGAAATTAATCAAAATGCATTTAGTAGGAAATTTAATAGGCTTTCAAACATGATTTAATTACTTAAGTGTTTTTTGATTCCCGCTTTCGAGATATTCGCGAAAAAATTAAATTTTGTTTTAAGAAGTATGAAAGAGGGAATAGAAGTCGATTTTGCAAAATTTCTTGAAGATAGTATTTTTTTCTCTTGATTTGTATACAACAGTCAATATACAATATCTTGAAGGTCGGAATAGAACCATAGTTTTATATAAAAAACTTTCTTCTTTATATAAAACCGAAAGTAATGACTTGAAAAAATATATTTGTGCGACATAATCTGCTTGACCGTTCCTGAGATTGTCCCGGGCAAGCAGGCAGACAGACAGAAAAATCTGGAAATACAGTTGGATGGGTTTTTATAACGTGTAACTCAATGCTGCAAAAAGGAATGCGACCTACTTGTCATGCTCTGGCCCAGCGCTTGTTGCCCGCCGCTTCAGCCAGACCGACTGCACGACGCTGGGGTGGCTGAACGAAGGGAAACTAAATAGTCCGGGAGCCAGCAAAAAAAACGACATATATGATAAGTTCAAAGCTAACATTTTTTGAGAAGTTAGCCAGTGTTATGAGTAGCATGGAATCGCAAGGATGGCTGCCTAAAATTGTCGAAGTCACTCTCCGCAATGTTTTGACTGTCTTGAAAAAAAATTTGGCTTTCGGGAACGACAACAAAATTATTCTTGAATTTACGAGGGGCGTACTATTTTGTTTTACGTTTACTTTTTTGCACGTCCTGGTATGGTTCACGTTTCACATCAGAAGGTGTAACTAGTGTCTTGTTCCGCCGTTAGCAACACACGCACAAGGGCCAACGAATGCAGTCGCCATAGCCATTTCATAACATTACTGTCTGCGTAGGAGCAGACAACAAGGAAAGCAACCGCCAGGGACAGCACTGTACGACTTGGTTCCTACGGAAAGAAGGCGTGACTACTGCAGAAACACATCGGCGCTTGGTGACAGTCTGTGGGGAACATGCGCCGTCACGTAAAACAGTTTACAAGTGGGTGGAAGGTTGGAAAACAGGGCGCAAATCGGTGGACAAGGGAACCAGTACTGAAAGGAATGTGACAGTGTCAACATCAGCCAACATTGCCCGGGTTGAACAGGTCAAACAAGGAAACAAATGCATCACATTTACGGAAATGAAGCAGCCACGAGAATTGGCCGAAATACCCTTCAGCGGATCATGCAGGGCCACTTACAGTTGGGGAAGGTGTCTGCAAATCAAAAACAGAGGCGTGTGGACGTGTGCAGAGAACTTTTGCGACGCCATGGTCAAGATCCTGCCGATTTCATGGCTAGGTTTGTGACTGGTGATCAGACGTGGCTCCATTACCATGTGCCACGAAGGAAACAATCGATGCAATGGAAGCATAGGGACAGTCCACCGCCAAAGGAATGTCGAATAATGCCATCAGTTGACAAGCGAATGGCGACAGTGTTCAGGGACAAAAAGGGCATCATGCTCATTGAGAGGCTGGAATTTAAGGTCACGATAAACAGTGCACCATGTGTGGCCACCCTTAAACGCTTACACTGTGCCATTGAAACTAATCGGCCAGAAAAATGGGCTAAAGATCTGCTTCTGCAACATGACAATGACAGCCCCCACATTAGCCGAGAAACCATTGCTGCCATTGATCAAATGGGATTCACGATGCTGCCACACCCACCATACTCTCCCGACTTGGCACCAAGTGGTTATCACCTGTTCGGGAACGCGAAGAAACCTATGCGTGGTCGCCGTTTTGCGTATTTTGAAGAACTGGGCACAGCTGTCAAGACATGGGTACGCAGCATTCCGAAAAAAAATGGTTTCAGGCAGGTCTGAAGAGACTGACATATCGATGGCAAAAATGCATACACTTACAAGGAGATTATGTCGAGAAGGTGGACGTACCAACTGATGTGTAATGTGCTTCATTTGAGTAGAAAAAAATAGTGTAAAACAATATAGTATGCCCTACGTACATAAGCATGGAGTAATATACAATGTTCCAATAATGTTACAGAAGTGGGGGAAAAGGTTCGCTCGATAATAACGTTTTGAATGGTAATTATTATTTAGAATGTTTATGATTCAAAAACAATATGAAGAATTATATAATAGAACACACATTACTACGTAATTCAAAGCAATATTCGATTCTTTATCATAACCAGTACAGTAATTCCACTTCATTCTTCTATTAGATAACTTTTTTTGGGGGAAAGACAGTTTTAACAATTTAGGTCAATAACATTTTATACAATGGTATATAATATAATGAATTATTTCGTTCTCAAACAATATTTAGTGTTAACAAATATATTTTAAAAGAATAGGTACCGGGGAGGGGTCACGTGAGAGAATTTCGAGCACAGGCTTGACTATTAATGATGTAGTTTTCTTTGAGAATGTTGTAAATCCTCGTGATTTTTAGTATCTTTTCCATAATTTTCATTCTGCAAATTACTTTACTCATTCCATAATTGTGGGCTGTCAATTCATAGAATTTATTTTTATCTCGCAGGTTTCTCTGAGTCGTAAAAGCTACGTAATGCATCTGTAGATTGAAAATTTTAACATACTGCAGTTCTTTCGAACACACTAAACACTTCGCCACTGTTCCGGCACCTACAAAAGGAAACCTTTATTCCCAAAACACAAGAAAATTAACGGGCGTATATGGTCTCCCACTCATGTTCCCTGAAACATCGGCAAAAGCCCACTGGTTTTCGTTATCGGCGACTGCCCCTCCCTCTCCCCCTCACCCCATTGCTCGCACTGCTTCTCCGTGTGTCAGCTCTCGGAGGGGAATTCGGCTCTGACATTTCTCCTTCAGATGCCAAACGCTGGCTCCAACTATGCGTAGATTTTTTCCAAACTGTATACTCCCGACCGATCTGGTCTCGCTCGAAGCTCTGCGATTTTATGTAACATTTATTACTTTTGGAGGGTACTTTACAAGAATCACTTGCGACATTTTCAATATTTTTTCAAAAATGTCTCCAATTTCTTTTTGGAGATGGATATACACTTATAAAGATGGCATAGGCCCGATTTTCACTATTAGCTCAGAATTTTTGAAAATTGCAAAACTGTGATATGTTTTCGGCATCTTCCTGCATCTACGTAATTGAAGATAGATATATTTCCTTCATATGAAATTTTTTCTCCGTAATCAGACCTTGCATATAGGCGTTTTACACTTACACAACATAGACGTATATAAACACAGAGGCGTTTTAGCAGTTTCGCGCTATATTACGTGAAATATGTGCAATATTTTGAAAAAATATCAATAACAATATTTTTTCAAAAAGACTCGATTGTATAAGATAATACAAACGACATTTTTCTCTATACATTTGGTTGTTTTAAAAATTACATAATTGTAATTTTTCTGACGTCTCGCTCACATCCTTAATATTTACAATAACGGCGATTTGTATACATTATAGAATTTGTTAAAATACGTGCTTCAAATCATCTCTTACAAAGTTTCTCTAAAACTCAAAAGTTTTCTGTGAAAATTATCACTAAATTCCATATGTTCAGAAACGCGCAAAACTTTTCTCAAAAATGGTTCCAAATTTTTTCTTCAACATTTTGCACGGATAGTGCTAAATGCATTGTATAAATGACATAAAAGTAATTTTGCTGTATTTTTTTGTTTTTGTTTTTTAATGATGCAAATTTATTTCTTTGAAATATCTCTCACGCCATTAATATGGACATTTCCAGCGATTTATAGACATTATTGACTATGTGAGTGGAAGCGCTTCCAAAGTGGTTTTATGAAAACAAAAGTTTTCTGTGAAAAATTGTGAAAATCCTGCGTATGGTTTAGCAGCTAGCGTTGTTCACAGTAAGACATTTTGCTGTCAACTATTTGTTCGGCATCAATCTCAAACAAAACGTGGATTCCGAGTATGGAACGTCTTGGAAGAAGTAATAAGAAAACATAGGATAAGGAATTATCTTTTTCGATGTCAGATACCTACAATACGATTTTTTTGCTGATATAGCGTCGTTTTTCCCAGCAGCATTTTATAACTGTCTCTCTTCTACATTATATAGTGTGCGTAAAAGTAGAAACAATCCAAACCTTATTTTGAATAGTAACGGTTACGAAGGTGGTGGCGGTAGAGGTACTAGTAGCTGTAGGAGCATCATCATCATCATCATCATCATCATCAATTTATTATTATTATTTATTATTTTATTTTATTATATTTATTATTGTGTATATATTATTTCTTTAAATTCATGTAACTTTTGATCGGAAAACATTATTTAGTGAATATGATTTACTATAAATGTAAACAGTACATGTAATTCTTATAAAAACAAATATTTCAAGCTTATGATACTTTCTTGCCTGAAGTATTTATGTAGTTCACCTAACTATTATCATAAACTAATTTATTTTGTAATAATGTATTTTCAAACTTTGCGCCTCATTCATGAAATATTTCTAACAAATGACTTTCGATTCTCCGTGCAATTGTTGCCAACATTCCACCACCATGAAAGAAATGTAGGTGCTTGCTTGTGCTCAGCAGTGCTCAGTGGTTCTCAGTAACTCACAGGAAATGATATGGAGTCTCGCCCTGCATAAAATTTAAGTAAAGAACAATGATTAATATGTAACACCTTAAAATAGCAGAGTCCATTCATTTTATTACGAATTTACTTTCTTTCTGAAGCGTTGACGTGCATGTGTTATGGTCAAATGAAAATCGAACAGAGACGTAAGTGGTTGTGTGGCACGTGCGTTGGCATGTTGTTTTCTCAATATCCAGAATTTGAAGGTTACTGAAACTCCTATTGATTAGTTGTTTGTTTTTAAATTGCAGTTGCTTAAGATATTTCAATCTTAATTGGGACACAAGTTGACAAGGGTGATTACACTGATTTGAGCAGTGAATGGTAAGATCGTAAAAGAAATTTCTAAAATGTTGAATAAGACCCCAAATTGTTAGAAATTTCCTACAAATCCCATTCACCAAGCATTTTTACTAGGAACATCATTGCACTTGTTATTTAATTTGATATGCTACCATTTATTGAAATAGAAGTTTTAAATGCCTGTAAATGTACTTTATAGATATTTGTATTTCTTTCAGTAAACAATTGGTGTTATCTTTAATTAAATATTATTTATTCAGTGTTTACCTAGCGAGAATTAATACATACCTTCCTGAAATGTGTCCAATTTAATTTTAAAGCAAGCTTAACTTTTTGCCTCTAATAAAGTAATTAATACATTAAAAATAGTTCCCCAAATATTTATAAGAATAATATTAGTAACAAAAAATTTCCATTAACCCAAAATCACCCATAATTTAATTTGTGTATTTGAAATAACATTGCGAGTTGAAAAAAAGTGAAAGTATAGTAATTTGTTATTATAACAAAATAAATGATTTTAGGTTGTGGTGGTTAGGAGCTTTCCATATTCGCGAGAGAATCACAAAGCATGTTGCTGAAGCAAGGAGCCGAAGCCAAAATATACAAATCAGAATACTTGGGATGCCCTTGTATTGTTAAAGAACGATTTGTGAAGAAATACAGACATCCTGAGCTTGATTCACATTTGACAAAAGAAAGAATAAAAGCAGAATGTAGAGCAATTGTGCGTTGTAAAGCTGCAGGTACATAGTTCAATTTATATGATGCACATTTTTGGTAAATTGTTTACTAATTCATATTCCGTTCCAGGTATCCGTACACCAACATTGTACGGAGTTGATCTTGCAAAGAGATGTATTTATATGGAGTACATTGAAAATGCAAAAACTCTAAAAGAGTGCATTAGCAATGCTGTAAACAACACTGAACATGCAGATGGCAATAAAGATTTCATTGGACCAATTTTGGAAAGAATTGGAGTTTTCATTGGGAGAATGCATTCTAGCAACATCATACACGGGGATTTGACAACATCAAACATATTACTTGTTGGTGATTTAGGAAGTGAGGACTTGCAAATAATATTCATAGACTTTGGACTTAGTTCTGCTGATGAGAGTGCAGAAGATAAAGGAGTGGATTTGTATGTACTAGAAAGGGCAATTATCAGTGCACATACACTAAAAGAAAATGTGTTTAATGTAATTTTGAAAGCATATGCAAAAGAATATAAGAAAGGTTCTTCAGAAGTGCTACGAAAGCTAGACGAGGTTCGATCTCGAGGACGAAAACGTTTAATGGTTGGGTAGTAAATAATTTATACTCGAGTTAAAAGTTTGTTTCTTAAAGTATGAATGTAGGTTTGGTTGTACAGTAATGTTGAATGGAGGTTATAATTTTCACTAAATTATCACATGTATCTGTGTAAAATAAATGAAAGCAAAATTTACAATTTTTTTCATTATTTAATTCTTATTTTAAATTGTGAACTTAATTCTAGGTATGATGGTGGTGATATAATATGAAATTGCTCAGAGAAATATCCATACCACCAAAAAATGTCGATTTATTTTTTTTCCTACATATATGTATGAATGTAATTGAAAACGACACTCAATTACAATTGCCTCTTTCTTTACTATGGCATTGGATTTCAAGCGATCTGAAACTACACTCCAAAATGTCATTACATGCTATCATGTCTAGACATAGTAACATTTTGAACTTCTGTTACTCAAGCATACCTTTTTTTTTTCATGAGTCAAAATACCTCTTTTCAGAAGTAAAAAGGTCAGAAATCAAAAAATTGTTAATTACCATCATTTCTTCAAAGACCTTTATTTGCATTATATTCTCAACTTTCTAGAAGATTCCATATCTTTTATTTTCTTGATTTTAATTATTTTTCAATTTCCCTTAGACTGGATTCCAGTTCTTTATAAACTAACAATAAAAACTAATGGTATTCCTGTAATAATTTCAGTACAATCAGGAATCTTGTTATGCAAGACTCACCTGCTAGAACTGAACTGAGAGTCTTCACTTCTGAGACCATTCACAAATTTATTAACTCTGCTAATGGATACCATGAGGTACTCGAGTTCACCACTCTCACAGAGTTTGTGTTCTAAAGAGCTGTCCAGCACTCGTGGAGCGAATTCTTGATCTTTCATGGAACCAATATTGTGAGAATAGTCTACTATTTTTGCTAATGCATAATCTTGATATCTGTAGAAAATGGCTAAAAATTACTGAAATATGAAGAATATTTTTTTCTTTTATCAACGTTTTCAAAAACAAATGCACGGTAAATGTAATTATTGAAATAATCATTAAGTACACTTCATGTTCACAATTTCTTTATGATCTTAAACATAACAGGGGAGAAAACATTTCAATGGACAATAGACTCACTTTGCAATGATACAGAAATGATGTAACATGGAATTTCTGATTAACATGTCAAGTCTAGTGGCTCACAAAAAAACAATTAGGCATTCATATCGCACATCAAATAAAATGTCTCTTAAAATAAATCATTTTCTTTAATTCTCATTAATATTTCAGTTGTGATATTGAAGTTACCTAAGTTATTTTGCAAAGTCATTTAACAATTTAAAAGAGAGATTTCATTGTGCAGGAGAAGCTCTTGCAGATAAGTCATTTTATCCATTTCCATTTTGATTTGTCTTCAACAACGTAGAACCTCCACATCAAAAGAAATACAGGAAAATTGAAATAGGTGACTTATTCCCTTCATGTTCTTGCCAAGTTCTGTGTGGCATACAAGTCTTTATGTAGCATGGTGCAAGCCAACAAACATTCATACTGGTCGCATGACAGATCAGGCAATCGTCAGGGCCCAAAAGGGATGTACATAAAAAAATTGAATTCTAAAAATCTTATCACAAATTTTATCCATGAAAAAGTAATGAATTTTTCCAAAAATCTATAATTACATCAAAATCTCTATTTACAAGAATATGGGCTAACCAAAATTCAAAGTTTGTATCCTACAATTTAAGAGTATTTTCCTCCTGCATATACTGAAAATTTTCTGAATTATAGTAGACACAATGTTAGTTCCATAAGATTTGTTTCTTCTTAAAGTAAGTCAGCTCACAATGTCAAATTTTCCCATTTGGCAACATAGGTGGTACATTGGCTTTTCTCTCAAGCATCAGTGACAAAGCTCAACTACAGATGCTCAAAGCCAAAACACACTAACCAACGTTCTTTTAAAAAATACATAGTACTATTTATCATCTTTACCATGAGCTATTGCATTAAGGCACATCTTTAAACCAGGTTTATTTGTGAATATCTTTAAAACGTTCAATGACTTATCTAGTTTAAAACCCAGTATCTAACACTTAAAGCCAAAGAAAAATGTTGAAACTTTCATTTCTCTAAATAATTAGTTTTTCACTTTCTGTGTTTTGGCATAGAGCAGTCGACCCTTCGAGAAATAACTCACCTCATCTTTAAAAAGTTAAAATCTGCTTCCACTTCCCTATATAATGTTTTGTCTAAGATAATTGATCTCTGTGAAGAGCTCAGTTTACTTTTCATTAAATTTAATTGAGTTATTATAACTATCCATATTTAGTTTTGTTTTTGAAAATAATAAGCGAGTCTAAAATTTCTGTTCCCAAAAAATTAGTCCATGGGCCTCCCTCTTTGCTACACATATGAATACAGGAAAATAAAACAATTAGAAACCAAAATAATCATTTAATATAAACAAAACCGTATTCCAAAAATATATAAAATAATTTTAATATCAACAGGTAAAATGTTTTATTTACACATTTTCACCTGTTATAAACGTGAAGACATTCCACCAGACACTACTATAGTTTCTCCAGTAATGTAAGACGCATCATTTGAACATAAAAATGAAACAATTCCTGCTATTTCATGTGGTTGTGCTAATCTGAAAAGAAAAATTAACATCTGAGTAATACTCTTTTCCTTGGCAAATTTAATTAAATTTAAAGTAATGATTATGTACTATTTACCTGCCCATTGGGATTTTTGAAACTGCTGCTTCTCTTGCCGACTCTTGTTCATGAAGCTGTATATAAAAAAAGACATTGAATTTAGATAAATGTATATTTTGAAAAATGTAAATATAACATACACTTTAAACGTTTTTAAAATTGAAGAGAAATGGGTAATGTGAATTTGGGAACACAATAGTTCTTTTAGTGATTTTCACTGATTAATTTCATTTTACTCTTACACACATTACAAAATGTGAATCACATCAAATTCCCTTATCGTTACAAACTTTGCCTTTAAAACAGAGAGATCATATTTCACAGTGCTTATAAAAATTCTCATGTAAATCCCCCTGATAGATTGCAAAGGAAGCCATCATGACCAAAGAGGAATTGGAACCATCTACTTTTAAAATGGTGCCTGGAAAGACTATTTACAATTATTAATATTATGCTAGAGGATAGTCAATAGACAGTTTGTATGTTGTTGATAAGGTTTGTAACACATGCCTCTGTCCCTCTCCTACCTCAATGTAACCTATCCACATGAATGTACAGTGAAACCTGTTCAAGACAGAAATGAGCAGTGCTTCGAACACTTTTCCTGCTAGAATGATTCATTGCATCCTGTACTTAAATGCATAAAAAAAAGTACTTCAAATATATCACATACAATGTTTTACACTACGTCATTGTTTTTGCAATTAGAACTCCGTATGTTCGTCAGTTTCAATTGCTTCATGTTGTGCTGAATGGTGTTTCTCTCCAAACATTCCATCATTATGCACAATTGTTCATAAAGTATGGGGCAATTTTTATTTACAGATTTATTGTATTCTTCAATGCATCAGAAAAGTTAACGAATGTTGACTTGTATCTGCATCCTGCTCCTCATTGTCAATCATATTCATTCTCTTGATGGTTGTCATTTACGATAAGTTCTTCTGTAGAAACAGCTTGTTGAGAGGCGGGTTCATTAGTAATGCCGTTGATGTACTTTGCAGCATCTATATCAGGCCCTTTGAGCTGATCTAATATAGCATGCACATTTGTTTGAGCTTCATTGATATATTCATTTTCTACAGCATCAAGGACAAAATTTGCCATGCTAAAACATTTATTAACCGTTTCCTCGTTTACTTTCCGTACTGCAAAATGAATCCACTTCACAGTATTTAACAATGAAATTGATTTTGCCATCTCAGATTAGCTGTAGAACCAGCTTCGATAATGACTTTTGAATGTATATATCACTCCTTGATCCATGGGCTGTATGATGCTGGTAATGTTCGGTGGAAACCATGCCATTCTTACATTAGACAAATTAATGTGTTGATGGCATGTGGCGTTATCAAGAAATAACAGCACTTGACGGTTTTGTTTTTTCATGTCTGCATTGTAACTCTTGAGCCATTCCTCCATTAATCCAGGCCTTCTTGTTCGATCTCCAAACTACTGGCAGTTTATTTGTATCAAGATGTCTGAACCAACGGGATCTATCTTATTTGCCTGTCACAAATAGGTTTTCTAGTTTTCCTGCCATAATGCCACACAGGCAAAGTCAGACGTCCTTTAGAGATCTTACCGTCCACACATTTTTCCCCGCGCAGGGAGAATGACTTTGTAGGAAGTGCCATAAAAAACAAACCAGTTTCATCCGTCATCTGGTTTGAATCCCTTCGCTAATTACTTCAGATTTTCCTGCCGCTCGGAAACTAGTCACATTTACATCACTCGCTTCTCCACACGATTTTGTGCCGGTTTCTGAAACTTTCTAGCCAACCATTCGAAGCTTTGAATTCCGGCTAATTCAGTTTTTTGCCAGTTCAATGGCTTGGCTCTGCAAAATGGATCCAGAAATTGGCAAGTTTTTCGAACAAGCACTAACAAACTACTCGAACAAAAAATCATTCAGTTCTTCATATCTTGTTTTCAGTTTACGCTTGACATCACCATTGCCCCTAAACCAATCACTCATAATGCGTTCTTTATTTTTAAAGATGTCATCAATTCGAGTTTTACCGCAACCATACCGCACTATTATTTTCCTTACGCACAGTTTATCTTTTTCATGAAATTCAATCACCTTCACTTTATCACTTTCTGTGGGTGCTGTATTTTTCCGCAACATATTTAATGAGATTCACAACTATGCTCCATTGCTCTCTACTGTCTCTTAATGATTCGAACTCGAATGCTTAAGATATTTCAACAACTGAGCTCGAAATTCCAGAATGCTTGTAGCCAAGAAGTGAAGGAAGAGTAAAGGGTAGCGCGATGAAAACGTGAAAATTGAAGTCAATGTCGCCCATGCAACGTCTTGGCGCGTGAAAGTGGAGACCTTGACCTCAAGAGCAGCAAGTACCAACCAAAAAGTAAGAGCAGTCTTCCCCACCGTGAGAAAGGAGATGTGCAAAAATAGGACGGAGAGGTGAGCCTCCGCCTAGTCTGCGCCTCCAGGTACAGAAATCAATCCCCATTCGCTGCATTCTCATGTAGCTTGGATGAGAGTGTGAAATAGGGGTAGTGTATATAGCCTTCAATCATAATATTTTCAGTTTTGGGCAGTGGGTAGTGAATGGGGTAACGGTTACCGTTACAGGGTTTCCGCGTTGGACAGTGAATTAACAAGTAAATACATATGCTTCTCCCTGGGACCGAAAATATTTTACAACTTGGACAGGTTTCCGTCTTGAACATGTTTCACTGTATTTGATTTACGAGTATATTATCACACCTCTTACATGTGGCCTTCAGTGGCGGCTCGAACTTAGGTTGCACAATCCCCCAATAATCGAAAAAAATCTTATAATACGTTAGGAATATACATTTTCCATTTAAAGACATTCAATATTAAAGAAGCTGAGGATTCCAACATTTCCCCTCGAATCGGTTATAGAAAAACTAATTATATCAAGACATTGAGTCCAGTCAATGTCGTGCATTGCTCATTCTTAATTCTTGGTAAGCTCTTTGTCAGGAAGTCTGTAGCTTGTTCATTTGAAAAAACATGAAGTAACCGAACATCCTTAATTTTTAGTACATCTCTCAGAAAGTGATGTCAGTATGTTTACTTCGAACATGAAAAGTTGGGTTTTCTGCTAACGCAATAGCACTTCGCTTACCGCAGAAAATAGATCGCTTGAGTCGTTGAACCATAGCTCTTTGACGCTCTCAAAAAGTGCTAAGCATTCAGCTTCCGTTGTCGATAAAGCGTCGATTCGTTGCTTTCTTGAAGCCCAGGATATCAGTCTACCATTCAACAATAATGACTGTGTAAGATCTCCGATTTTCATGAGAATTTCGTCAGTCTGCATCAGTATACCATTTAATCGGCCCTGGATCTGAGTGAAAGGTTAGTCCCACGTCAAGGGAACCCTTGAGGTATCGCAACATTCATTTAGCGACCTTCCAGTCGACAAATCCGAAGCAGTTATTAAATTGATCCAGAAAACGTACGGCATTAGAAATGTCGGGCCGTTTAGCCGAAGCTAAGTAAGTTAAAGCACGAACTTGCTCGCAATACGGAAGTTTCAGTTTCTTTTCAAACAGCACGTCATTTTTTGTTAACTTTAGATTTGACTCCACAGGGGGTGGTTTCTAGGTTGCATTCTACCATATTAAACAGCGAAAGTAAGTCACAAATATATCCTCGTTGATGCGTCACTTGTTCGTCCCTTTGCTCAAACTCGACGCCGAGGCAATATTTTACATCACCCAGATTCTTGATTTCAAAATTATCAGTCAGTCCATTCGCAAAATCATTAGTATTATTCTTATCACGAGATGCAATAACAATATCGGGTACATATTTAACGATTAGAATTACGTTTTCCCATAAACCGACAAAGAAAAGATAGGAATGGACATTTGAATAGCAACCAAACTCTTATAAGAGTAGTTTCTAATTTTGCAAACGAACTCCTTACGTAATACGTACGTACACTTACGTAATACGTAAAGTGATTTCTTCAATACACACCAAGTTTCCCTAAAGCAAGTCTTTCAACACTATCTTTGGCTTCGCGTTGAGAGGAATTCGACCTTCTGAACTGATGATATCCTGAAGAACTTCACTTAGTTTCTTAGACTGCTTCATAAAGATCTCTTCTAGATGACTGTTAAATTAAGAAGACACAGCAAACTGTTTAATGGTCATCCTGTCTTGCTCAAAACGATACGAGACGCATGGGGCTAATGCGAGCCACAGGAGCGAATTTGTCTGTAAAATAGACACCAGGTTGCTGACTAAAACCTTATGCAACTAGGCGAGCCCTCCGTTGTTTTAGTCTACCATCCGGTTGACACTTGTTCCGTAATACCATCTGACTTCCAACGACTTTTTTTGCCTTTCAGGACGATCGATGAGCATTCAAAGAAACAAAGAGGTAAAGCGATTAAAAATGTTACCCCAAACAAATTTCTCAGAGGAGGGAAGAGAGGATTGTCCTTGGACTGGATTGGAATGTAATTACCGACATGTTTTCTTTTTTCATACTTAACAGGTACCTGACTCTGATCATTTTTAAACTGCGCGCGCTTTGTGACACGAAAACTCCACATCGCTTTCAGGAGGAAGTCTCGGTGTTTCCATATACTCTCTGCTTGTAGTAATCGTCCATATGACACGGCGCTGCTCCGGGCAAGTAAAGAAATGTTTTTTTTAATGCAGCCTTACGGCACCATGGGAGGAGTTCCTCCCTAAAGTCTATTTCAATTAAAACAACTCCTAAATGGGCGCCTACACGCGCATGAGTCACGTGAAATCCAAGGGCCAGGACTTAGACAGCTTAATCTTATCTCACACCGTGGGCTGGCGAAAACCCGGCGATACGTCTCTCTCTCGTTTTTTCTTTCTTTCTTTTTTTCTTTTTCTTTTTTTCTTCAATAACAGGCGACGAACAGTGCGATTACTAGTATACTAGTAAAATGTGGCGTCGTCGACGCTACATATCTGGTTTAAAAATAAGTGTCATGTGTTGAAAATTTATTTCAAACTTCATTTTTTAATTACCGGCTTTGTTTAAATGTGTGCTTTCAGCTTACCAATGAATCGTAGAAGTTGATAATGTTATACTCCCGTGCAAAAGTTCCCAAGTTCACAGTTGAATGTTATCTCCTCTATAGGGGATATGAACTGTTCGTAAGTTTTCGCAAATTTATTTTTTTAAATACGATAATTCGAATCAGAATTGATATGAAATCTGCATAACGATTTACTTGGTAATTCAATTGTTCATTTAAAGATGTAAACATCTGTGTTGCCAACGTCGTGAAAGAAAATTATACATATTGAGCCAAACATGCCTTTAGTTAGGACGCGTTGGTTTAATTCCTGGCATTATGACTAACGCAAACGCGAAAACACGTTTCTGGAAATTTCTTTGAATCTTATGGCCGGATCCAAATCCGCATAATCTTAATATCCACTTAATCTTAACCACATAAACAGGCCTTTCCCCATCCCCCCTCCGGGGAGCCCCCGCGCAGTTAGCAAAACAATGACCTCCCGCGTCTTGGCCCATCTCTCAACAACACTTCCGGAAATCCCAGAGGTATTGTTTATAACTCGCCCGTCGCCGGCTGCCGATCACGGCGCCGAAGAATTATGTTTCCGAAAACAAAGCCGCCTGAACACGTGTTTCGGGCAGCTGCAAGAAAGAGAAAGAAGAAAGAGAAGAATATCGCACTGGAAATTTCCAGAACCAGGTACATTCAATTCACCGAAGATCACCACTAGCAGTTACAGACAGAAACCTTTGCTCTACGATCGCGACTGGAGAACAGTTACATTGCTGGTCGGGGACTTGTAGATAAAAGAGCGATGGCTCTTGACTAAGCTAAAGACTCGGGATGAAGAACATGTAATTTGGCTTCATAGGGTAGAACTTTTTCCACGAAGCGCGGAGTTTTCACCGAACCTAAAACCCGCGCAGACGTGTTCATCTGCGTTCGCCGCGTAGTGCCGTCTCGGGCCCATTCAAGCCCGCATTACGCCCGCCCGGCGCCCGTGTGTTCTCGAGCTGACTCTGAGCCCGCCCGCCTTTGACGACTCCGAGACCTACCACGCCGCGAGCTGCGGAGTTTGAGCTGAATGGGGGGTCGGTGACCTGATCACTGCCCCGCCGTCGCCGCACCACGCCGCCAGTCCTCGCCAGAGCGAGGGTGAATCACTAGACGAGGACAGCCATCCAGCGGGTCTGCGGAGGCGCCGACAACCAGCGGTGATAATCCGGTATTTAACCGGAGATGAACTCTCTCCCCTGATTACGTCCCTCGCTGGTATTCCGCTGGCGTTCCCTCGCTGGGTATTCCGAGTTTCAGCGTTGCCGCGCTCAGGCAGTTTTTTTTTATTACTTAATAATGCTCGAATTATTGTAGACACAACCCCAATATTAGTGTTAAGATGTTTCTTCCTAGCTATTAGAACCATGAGCTCATTGCGTAAAGTTGGTAGGCAGTCTTTGTCGCTCTCTTGCGATGTGTAACTTCCCTGGCAGTTAATGTTGTCAGGAATAAATTAATTTTTGCCTAATTAATGAAAGTATTCAATTGATATTTTCATAACCTCCCGTCTCTTCCATCCATTCATTATAGGAATGAACCTGCGACCCGACTGAGCTAAACGTTACAATATATCTGTACATTCTATTTGAAGTAATAGTATTTGCCATTATCTTCTTTCCTCAAGAAACTCGCACGAGCCGCCAGAGCCAGCATTATCTGCTTGATGCAACCCACCCTGTATTTAAGAATTGAGGGATTGCGTTGCACCTGAGCTGGCAGGGGCGGGGCAGCACGAGGCGAGGCGGGGCGGGAAAGGAGGCGGCAGGGCATGGGTGGACGGACAGAGGGACCTGGGAAGAACACAGAGGGCGGAACTTGACGGGAAGAGGGGTGTGAGGCGGTGCCTGAAATTAAAATTTGTTTTATTTTAACCAATCTAAATACCTATTAATTATTTTTCCTTTTCAATAGATGATTGTGATAAATAATATCCTGCTTAATGATCGAGATAAATAAAAAAAAAATTGTGATAGCAAATGGAATACAATATTAGACAAGACGGGGTACAATTCAACCATACAATATAATAAAAATCAAAATATAAATTATTAATGCAAGGATTATAAAACCTTTCCCAAACACATCTTTATCACATGAGACATCTCAAGCACAAACACTAAACAAATCAGTCATAATCAAATATAAATGTGTTAATTATATTTGACACCACAACATTTACTCTAATGAAGATACCACTAACAAATGCAAGATTGGTTCTAAAATAACTGACTATGAAATAATATTTCACTCATATATATTAAACCAAAATGTTAAAATCTCTTGTTAATATTCAATGATGGAGAATTAGTTAAATGTAGTGTGTCCAGGTCTGCTCTCAAGAGCTCAAATTTAGAATAGAATCCATATATCGACTTTTGGGAGTGCACAACATACATAAATCTGTCGTCCTTTTAGTGTTATGAAATGCATAATACTGATAATAAAATAACAAACGAACAACATGTTGCAAAGTTGCAAAACAAGTTTGAATTTTACTGCAAAATCAATTTGTACATGGGATTTCTTTGTGTGATTGACTGATTTTTATGTGCAAGTCAACTGCTCTGGTCATTAGTCTCATTAATGTAGTGGTTATTTTATCCCAGTGTAGTGGATATTTTATTATTGTCCCCACTAGATGGTGAGATGCAGTGCTGATCTACACTCAGCTTGTGGAGAATTTCCTGATTCGGGTATCTCCATCATTGGGGCACCGCCCTATCAGTCATCCTCAATGGTTTCAAAATGAGAGATAGGCTAGTGAGTGTGAGAGTATTTGTGTGTGTAAGGGAAGAAGAGGGGGGCAAGGATGAGGACGGGAAGCCAGCTTGTTAGAATACTTCCCCAGAATACATCTGATAGTGATTAGTGAAACTACGGAAGACTTCCAATCAGAGCATCTGGCTACTTCTGACATATACAGTTAGTGTTAAAAATTCGCCACCATCAGAACTCGAACCAAGGACTTCCAGGTCATAGTTCTGCAAGATAATGGTAAATATGGCCCCATGGTAACTCACTGATTTTGTTTGTGATGAAACTGGGGTTGTCAAATACTAAAAAAAGGAAATTTTTATTTTATTGTCAATTTACTTTGTTCGGTACTTTTGTTGTTTTTCATACTTTGCATCGCTGCATTTTTTTGATTAAATTTGAGTTTTTAATTAATATTTCTTATAACATAAAATGATATGTTTTGAAATAATTTAAAAAATCATTAAAACATTATAAGGTATGGATGTAGTTTGTATTTTATTGTCAGTTTACTTGTATTATTTGTTATACATGTTTGTATAGGTTTGTTGTGATTAAATTTGAATTTTTGATGGATATTTCAAAAAATAAAATTATAGGTTTTGATTTTTAATTTAAAAATATATTAAAACAGTTAAGTGGTGTTTTGCAATGGAATTTTTATGTTCTTTTACCCAGATGGGTTTTTTTGAGCTGGAGAAAATTTAGCCAATCCTGATGTGTCTTCTTGAGAAAACAGATAAGAATCCCATTCACTAAAATGATTGTTTATATACTTTTAAGAAAATATAATGATTTCCAACAAAATTGATAACAATATTTTTTATTGTACATGACAGATAAATTGCATTGAGAAAGAAATCTCTGGCTTTGATATTGGAGATAAAGATTTGATGCAGGTTAAAAACATACTTTCATTTTTGCAACTCCAAAATTTCAGAGGTTTTAATGAAAATCAGAACAATACAATAATTATAAAAGCACTTTTCTTGATTCAAGCAAAACAATTGAAGAAAAAATAAGTATACTATTTTCAGAAAATTTTGAAAATGTGATTGACGTTTAATGTAAAGAACCCTCCAAAATTAAAATATCGTAATGACCCCAGAAATGGCAGTACTAAATCTTACTCCTTGTGCGTTTTTACCAAGTTTGAGCTGAAAAGCTTTTAATGTGATAGCCATATGTGATATACTTCCCACATACAAACAGACATGTACATAATCTTGATTCTGAGGTGTACTAGAACTGCATGTATCACCTCACCACCTTGCACCCATCTTTGGATTAGCTCCATCAGACCTTAACCCCCAGATGCTTAGTTAGCTCAAAAGAACTTTAAACATGGATTTTACTACTGAAAATTCAAAATTTTATTGTTGAGGTGATTCCAATACTACTTCTTCCTTTACTACAGTATAAGGAGGAAAGTTAAAGTTATTTCATAGACATTTTAACTTTATAATATCTAAATTTGACAAATACATTTAATTTTAGCCAATGCTAAACAATTAATCAGTATTCACTAAGCTACTCTACGCACATTTGCCTTCTAATAATACTTACCGCTGCAGCAAATCGTGTTTCTACGATACCTGGTGCCACACAATTGACTCTAATGTTTTCTTCTGCAAGTCCTTGTGATGCAGCTTTGGTCAAGCCTAATAAAGCAGTTTTACTGACAGAATAAGCACCTAAAACCTGAAACACATACATATACACTAAATTTAAGCCTTTACCTAGTTTTTTACACATTAAGCTAAGTAGTACACATAGTATATCATCATATCATTCAAATAATATTTTCAAACTTACATCAAATGGTTGAAAACCAGCAATGGAAGAAATGTATGTTATAGAACCACCTCCTCTCTGTCGTAGAAATGGCAATACTTCTTTTGACAGCATATAGGCAGCTTTCACATTAATTTCAAATATTTTATCCCACGATGATTCCTCACACTAGCAAAACATATCCAAATTAAATTGTACTCAGCAAATATACCTAAATAAAATAAAAATTCATAAACAATCTTTACCTCCAAAACATGACCAACTGTTGGATTGACAGCTGCATTTGAAACAAGAATGTCAATACCACCATACTTGCTAGAAGCACATTCTAATAACTTCTGTCGATCTGATGCTTTACCAACATGACATACAATACCACTGACAGTCAATCCTTCACTCTGTAAATCCTTGACTGCACGCTGAACGTTATTTTCTTTCCTGCTACTTATCACAACACTTGCCCCATCTTGAGCCAATCGACGTGCGATTGCAAGACCTATGCTGTAATTGAAGTAATTAGCAAAAACATAATTTCTTAACCTACCATAAAGAGCTATTTATAAATTACTTAGCTTTTCTAAAATATTATTTTATATCTACATTGATAGTTCTCCAAATGTTCCCTACATTTTGAAATATGAATATAACCAATATCTAGGCTCGTTTCAGTCAATATCTATCAAAAGCTGAAGGGTGGATAAAAGTGTAAATGCATCGCCCTTAATTTTTGCCTTTCTTTCTTACCCATCAGTTGATGCAGTGACCACTGCTACTTTCCCCTTTAACTTCACATTTCCAGCTTGGCAGCTCATATTTGATGAAAGCTTTTTAACTTCCGGAAAAAATCTTCTCAGCATCTCCCTACCTGTACGTGAAAACACGATGTCAAAACCGACTCTGAAACACTCAATTACCTCCTAATATTACGTGATATCTGAATCTTAATCTTAATCCAAGATTTACAAGTGGAAGTTAAGTGTTATTTTACTTCGCTATCCTTCAATACGTTCTTACTTTATAACATAGCTTAACGCATCAGTTCTGTTGTTAAAACAAGGATGACTTAGCATTATAAGTGGTAGCTTTTATGTAACTTGTGTTGTGATAATTATCGGGACAGGACTTTGCCTTAGGCCTGCCGGAGTCCACAAAATTGTGAATTTCGACAACCTTGCTTTGTTTGTTTTCACGGAGTTACAGTCTAATTTCCCTCACCCTAGAAGAGAAAAGATAAATAAAATTAATTTGACACATATCACAGCTCAGCTCACCTTGTCACTTATGTGAAGGACAAGTTTGATTGGTTATTTCGAGCCGAACAGCTGACTGAAACAGTAGTCTGCTCTGGATCAAGTTCATTGGAGTTCATGTGCATGTGGTCCAAAACAATCACCACACCTCATGATCTCGATAGGGAACAGTCCGAGATGCGAGCACAGTACTTTTGCCTCAACATTCACAATTTCGCAAATATCTGCAGTAACATTATTTAAAATGATAGGAATCACGATGACAATTCGTAATATTCAGTGAGGGATGTACCAGAAAAATAAATAAATGAATAAATAGGATAATAAAAAACATTGACTGGGGTAAGAAAGTTTGGACAAACTGGGCTTAGCAGTGATCACAGTGATAATTACATCATCACGTCACGAGACGTGGTTAGCAATAATGAGGTTGTGAAGTCCAGCCTACGAACACGAGCAAACAGAACGAAGAAACATTGAGGTGATTGAGGCACGTAAAATGGAAGGTACCGCCAGCGAAAATCCTGTTTCAAATGACGACGGAAGAGAAAATGGGTTACTCTTGTATTATCATCAGTATTCATTTTATTCGCAAAAGGTACCATGAATTTATATTCGCTAAAAATCGTAATACTTCGGAGTACTGTGATAATAGTAAGTTGTGATAGTTTGGAATGGCTAAGTTATTGCACTTCGGAATGTTCGTATCGTGTTCAGATTATTCTATTTGTCCATATTTGAATTGTTATTGTACCACAGAATTGACTGACGTGTCTATTTAACGTCAATTTTCCAGGTTTTATTGGCTTTGCATGAGAAGAAATTGCCTTACAAATCACACATAGTCAATCTTATAAAAGGGGAACAATATCAGCCTTGGTTCCTTCATATAAATCCACGAGGAGAAGTTCCAGTTCTTAAAGATGGCATTAAGATTATTCCAGATTCAGGAAGAATAATAGACTATTTAGAAGACAACTTCAGTAATGGTATTTTACTAACTTTTTTCAACCTCTGTGATAATCCCTGCGTAAAAACATTCTTCCTATTATTTATACTATAGAAATCAGAACTACTGCACTTTTCTTTTAGTGGATTGATCTTTGAGAACATTCACAATTCTCAAACTGCTCTGCAAACAATTCTCAAATGCAAATCCATTTCGCTGTAGAATCATTTCCAGCTAGGGAAAAATAATATTTAATGAAAAATCAGTTTTTTAATTATGTGATTCAGTATTTGAATCATACACTAATTAATCTTACAATTCCATTATTGAGAAAGATTTTCGAAAATACATTTCCGCAGATATTCCCTTATATTTGACCAACATTGAAAACTGGATCAACAAATAAAATGAACATTTCCCCACTTTTACAGGCAGTACACCTAGACTTATGCCATTGGAAGAAGGAGCTGATGTGCGTTCCAAAGTCACCCATTTCCGATCTTTGTTAGACCACATACCAGCTGGAGCAATTACCATGGGATCCTTTTTTCACACACAATTCTGTGATAAACCAAAACCACCATTTATTCAGCCTGTACGAAGACTACTGCAGTGTAAGTACTGACTTTCAATATCTTTTAAATTTTAAATGTTTAAAAATTGTAATCATACAATAACAAAAATAAACATTCACTCTTCTCTATGTCATAATATAAAATTGAAATCTTGTCATGTAATGTCATGTAATTTCCCAAACCTGTTGATTATTTTGAATTAGAACTGGTCTGTTTAGTTTCTTCTTAGGAATGTATCTTATTTTGTGTATAATTTAATATGTGTAATGATACCATGATCTTGAACAATTACACAGCTGCTGAAAAGAACAGTAGCACAAATCTCCGTTTGTATGCAGAGAAGAACCCAGAAAGCCGAGACACATTACTTCAGAAAGCTAATAGTCAAGATGCACGGCATGAAGCATTACTTAACAAGGATGAATTTAAGAAACTCCTGGATCAAACTGACTCAATTCTGCAGGATGTTGAAAAAGAACTTAGTTCACATACTGAGGGTATGTAAATAGTTTTTTTATTATGAAATTTATTGATATCAACAAATTGTCTTCAAATGCTTTTTTTTTTTTTCAGATAAAACTGATTGGTGGCTGTGTTGCAATCACTATACTGTTGCTGATGTATCGTTGACCATATTACTTGATCGTTTATATCGACTAGGATTAGAAAATTATTTTTGGGCAAATGGCAAAAAGCCTCATATTGCTAACTACTATCAACGTGTGCAATTACGTGATTCATACCAAAAGACTATTCCATCAACATTATTCCACTTCAAAACACTTTTACAATTTCAGATGCCTTTTGTAATAGGTTTAGGTATAGTTGCAGCTTTTGCTGTAATTATTGGAGGACTTTTTTATATGAGAAAAAAATAAATTATCCTTAAATTTTTAAAAGCAAACAATATGGAATATAGCAGTGTGAAAAAGGGTGATGTGAATATAAATGATAGAAATGTAAGTCATAAGTTCAAAAAGGAGATTTGTAAGTTCTTTTAAAAAGGTGGAAGAAAATTCATATTTAGAAAACTTATGATTGCAAAATTCGGTAGAAGATTTGCTTGAAGATTTAGTAATTGTGAAATATTGAAATATGGTTTAGCATAAGAAACGTACATAAACTTACATTTGATACAATTATTGTGAACTGAAATTGCAATTCAATTCCATGCCAGAATATGTTGAATTGAAAGGTCTTGTTCCAGGGCTTGTCAGTATAAATCTGTACTCAGTTGTGTGAATGTACAGAATGACTATATTTGAATGAAACAAAAATGTCTTCCATTTCATAGCAAGCTCAAGATCTATTTTTGATATCAGTTTACAAAGTTGTTCATTTTTTACATACAAGTTCAAGTTTCACTTATAACTAAAATAGTTTTCCGTTTCATTTGAGGAATATATCACAGCCTAAAAACATGATCGTAAAAATACTTATTTAACTTGAATGGTTTACTTTATTTAAAAGCACCAGAGATGGTCAATTAAAGTTTTAAAAATAATTCAGAAAGTACTTGTAGTATTATCTAAAATTGGTCTAGCTTTAGAAGTTTTAGAGCTGTAAACTTCTGTTAACTATTAGAAGTTATCAACATTTAAAATCCTTTTGACTCTAACTAGTAAATATTTCAATGATATGATTTCCAGTCATCTGACTGTTGTCAGTAGGTGGAAACAGTCAAATTTTCAAGAGTTGTGCAAAAGTATGGTAATTGTTGGGTAATTCACCCCAAGAGAAAAGAACCTCCGTTTTTTCACTACTCGCAAATTATTAGCTATTGTCACTCCTTGCTTACAAAAGCTATTTTCTTATAGAAGTTGGACATGACACCATTTCATTTGATCTGAAAAAGAATTATTAATAATATGCTCCATTTAGACCTTTATTGTTCATATTTAGTTACTTAATTAGGAATACTTAAAATTTTCCGTACGTAAGAAAAACATAAGGAGCCAATTTGCTTGCACAAGTGTCATATTTTGGTTGAAAAAGATTGTTAAATATCAGAACTTTTTTTATCAGATTTGAGTGAGAGTTGAGAAACTTGGACTAAGTATTTGTCCACTATAATTATGTGATTCATTACACAGACTGGAATATTTTGTACAAATACCGAGTAATTTAGGTCGGAAAATAAAAGTACATGAAAATAATGAATATTTTTCAAAGGTTGTTGCTGCTGCTCCTAGTACGAAAATTTAAAAAAATCATATGTAATTTTTGTTAGATTTTCAGTGCTAATCTTAGTATTAAGTAATGCTGAAATAGGATTACAAAAATGTTTCTGAATTTTTTAAACATTTCTCTAGTAAAATTGTTTTTATTGATATACATTTGCTGTTGTGTTGTCTCTAAAAATTAAAGATTTGGTTCCTCAAAGTCTAAATAAATAAAATTACTGCAACAACATCATGTGAAAAAATTAACTTTTGTCAGTAACATTCCAAACAGCATTTTCTTACTTCAAAAATCTCAGTTAGTAATTCTCATAACCATGACTCACTGTGAGTAGATTGGTGGTGGCAGATGGATTGGATGTAGAATATTTAGGGTTTCATACGGCATATAGGAAGATCGAAACAAAAATAAAGAGAAAAAGAAGCTTGAGTACGCTTTGGTTGGCAGTTCTGTATGGCTATGATTTGTAATGTCTATCAGTGTGAATACATTATTAGCTCAAGTGATTTTTATGGTCTATAGATAAGTGCCTTAAAGTGATTGAAACAAAATAAAAATCTGGAAAACATTTGTATTTTGGTAATTTGATTAAATTTGTGGTTCCTTTCCTCTTTCACACCTAACGATTCGGCAAAACACAAAACCCATACATTATATTTTACTTTTCAAAATTGTTGGTGGCTCACAATAGGTAAAAACAGTTGTTTATCTCATACACACACATAGATATAACAATAAATATTTTTGTTTAACCTCCAAACCTTTTGGGAAGGTATAGCTGGTAGGGACCCAAATATGAAGGTAAATCCACTCCCAAGCTTTCAAATGAGTCCTCAACCACCTCTGTAGGCAGTCTGGGAGCTTGACTATTAGGAACTGATTTAATAAAATGAAAAAAAGAAATGTACATTTTTAAAAAAAAATAATTATAATTACAAGAATTGTAATAACACTTTCTGAAACACATTAGAATTGTGTCTTGAAAATAAAACACGAAATTCACAAAGATATTTTTTTAAATAACTTGTAATCTGAAGTTGTTTTATCCATCGGCATACACGTTTCTCTGTTTCCTTTTTAAGTTCATTATAACATTGTAGGAGTGTCATTTGCTTACTTGTATTTCATCCAAATTTTATCTCACATTGATGACAAATTCTGTACCATGACTATATACCAATAAGTATTTGATTCAATATTTTCCAAGCTCATTTTTAAGGACTTTTTAATAACAAGGCAATGTAATCATACTTCAGTTTTAAGCATGTGATAATGCCTTGGTTTTTGTAAAATTATCCTCAGAAATATTCCATAGATTATATTTTCTTGCAATAATTAGTAAGAAGTATCTTTGGAGCTTAGAAATCGTTCATAATAGATGTTAATAAGGAGGAGAAGTTGGAAAATTGGACCCTTTACAGACATGGGAAAGGTTAGAGGACATCTTATTTTAATCCTTGATTTGAAATTAAATTCATTGTAAAATGTTGAATTCAATATTTTAAAACATATTTCTCACTGGAAATACATATTATCTCAAAAGACCGCGTAGCTGAAGCTTAACTTATGGGGTGCGGGTCGTACTTTGCCCCTGATTGGAAGGCAACCACTCTCATTGGTATTTGGCAAGTCACTTTCTGCCGTGTGTGTGTGCATATATTGAAGATATTGTTTCCTCGAATAATTGCACTCGTCAGGATAGAAGTATTATTCTAAAATAACAGTTATCGGAGTTAGGGAAGTTAGAACGAGTTATGTGTTATGTTTAACGTGCCTTTTTACTTTTGAGAATGTTATGTAATGCTGCGGGAAAAAACGGCGAATTTTCGGCAGAAAAACTCTTATTGCGGGGCCCCGTAAACGAAAAAGTGAATAAATCAAGTGGCTAAATTTAGATAAAAATTCTATAACAAGTGGTGTAGCCAGAATCCACGTTTTGTAGTTCTTCATGCAACCGAAAAATCGATTGACGGCAAAATGCCTAACTGAACAAGGTTAGCGCTTAAACCATCAAGCAGATTTTCTCCAAAATTGACCTGGCTGATATCACGGTCTTATTTTAATGTTGGGGGTACTTTACATGAAGTCCCTGGTACATTTTCAAAACAATGACTATATAGATTTCGATGAAATTTTGTTGTTGGATAGTCTGAAGGACGTTTAAAAAAATGGTGCAGGTCTCATGTTAGTTAAAAACATAATTTTTCAAAAAATTGAAGAAAATCAAATTTTTTTGGCGTCGGCCTACAACTACAATTATGAAGGTACATTTTTTTCTTTATGAAATGTGTTTATCAAAAACTTATCTTCAAATACGGTTATGTTGAATGTTTTGGAAATATGAGTATTTTTTGTGTGATTTCATGGTAAATATAAGTCTCCCGCTCCCAATTTACTACGCTTCGTGAACGTAAAATGAATTGTTATTCTACGCAGTTGGCTGCTACGGAAGTTGCAATTTAATTAAGTTAGAATATTATTACATAGAATTTAGTTAAGAGTATTTTATTATTATTATTATTATTATTATTATTATTATTTATGTTTTCATTTTAAATTGCGTCCTTTAATTGTGCTAAATGTGAAAACGAATAGATGATTAGCTTTGCTTAACATGATGTGGAAATGAAGAATAATGCATTGTAAAATCAAGTACTTTTGATGAATATAAAAATATTATTTTTAATTCTTATATTTTTCTATTCATTTTCATCTTCTTGGGGTATCAACATTGATAGCTGGCAAAATGTATAACCCATACGAATTAGCTGTCATTGAAGCTTGTTGTAACGCCTCACTGATAAAGTGATAATGATGGCTGCCTTTCTTACGCGGTAATATGAACTAATACTTTTATATATTTGTAGAGTATTACAATACCATAGTGTTTAATAATTACTATTATATATTTTTCGATATATTTGCATTTGTTTGCCACCACTATCAGAATCGTATTATTTCTTTTACTTTTAATTGTTTTTCTTTCTCGCATACTGCTTACGCGGAATACTATTGTAAGGCTAAAACTAATAGGGTTACAACAACACACACTTTCTCGCCCCTTAGTAATGGTTATGTAGTATTATACTGCAATTCATTTTTGAAAGAAATAGAGCAATGCCCGAAATTAAGAATAGCGCCATATTTCTCACCGTTCTTTATTACATGTGTGGGAAAAAATTGGAGAGGTTTTTGAGAACTTTTTTGGAAATTTCAATCACAAAATACGCAAAAACTGTTCCTTTTTTCAAAAAATTAAACATAACCTTCTTTGAATAGCTTGTTTTGTACCACTGACTTTGTCTGAGACACCTTACTATCTCCAATTTTGAAGTTTTAATTTTTTTTTCCAAATTTCGAAAAATCGGGAACGTCCACAAAAATGAGACCAGCGCCATTCTCTTAAATGCATTTTGCCGTATTCAACAATAAGATTTAATCAAACAGTTTTGAGCCAGTTTTTTGAAAATGTCGCCGGAGCTTCATGTAAAGTACCCCCTAAAATGAAAAGATTGGTTTTAAATTCCCGGGGGGCCGCAACATCAGCTAGAACAATTGGGGAATATCAATTAAGGAGAAAATTGGCCGCATGGTTTATGTGCTAGCGTTGTGCACATACAAGACGTTTTGCCGTCAATCGATTTTTCGGTATCAAGAACCCACTAAACATGAATCCTGGCTACACCACGTGTTAGAGGATTTTTTTAATACATAGCAACTGGATTTATCCACTTTTTCTTACCAGGGCCCAGCAATAATAGCTTTAATATCGAAAATTCGCCGTTTTCCGGCGCACGATTACAATATTTTTTCTTCTTACATGAGTAAATGAGAGAAAGTAAAACTTATCCCGTATGTTCGTGAATACACTGCATACCTTAAACAATAAATTATATGCCAGAAATATAATTTCATTTAAAGTTTTGAATCTATTGCTTGATTTTTCGCAACTCATGTTCTGCGATTTCAAAAGAGTTTTCAAAAAATGATGACTGAGATGTGTTAATTCGGAGAGAAATTGTGGTATAAATAGTATTACATAACCATTACTAAAGGCGAAAAACTACGTGTTGTTTTAGCTCCACTAGTTTACTTTCTTGCTTCTGCGCTAGAGAGGTTATGTATATAATAGTGGTAAAGCAGGGACGAATCCGGAGACGCATTTGGAGGGGGAAATTTGTATGTGTGAATAAGCACAAATATAATATAAATTATAAACAAGATAAATTACTTATCATAAAATTCTTTAAACAAAATTGAAACATTAAATTTAATATTTAATGAATACTCTATGTATTAAATTAAAAATAGTAATAATTTGTTATTAAAATCGTTGAATTCAGATTTGCAAAACGACTAAGGATTAGGGTATTATATTTTTCATTCTATGATACAGATGTGAACAGAAGGAATTTAAATAAAAACGCATGATATCGATTTACAAATTAAATATTCACTTACATACAAACATTACTGTCCAGGACTAAAAAAAAACGATAGGATTTCACAAAATATTTCAAGCTACTTCAACTTTTTCTTTTTATTAGATATCTTTGTGTTTTCTTCTTATTTTTTAAGATATTTTCTTTCTCTTCTTAAGTTCTTATTAACCGCGCCATCTCCATTCGCATATAAGCAATCCATTCCCTATTCTGTTTCGGGCACACTGTAATTGCGCGAAATGTCACAGTGGCCCACGATGCTGCCCACGTGCTTGACTCCTAGAGAGACCTTACTCCGTCAACATTGTTTCCGACGGCCACACTCCAATACGTGGAAGTCTCCATAGCACCGCTCGTCAAGCGCAGTGAGAAAGTGATATTATGTCACACCTCTGGAGAACAGTCAAAGATATTTTCCGTAAGTACCACTATGCTATAATGCAGTGAGATTCAGGATTCCCATTCATAACTAAAATGCTAAGTGCAGGTTATTTTTTCGATACATATTAGAGGTTTCTATAATTTGTTCCTGTGTTTCTCATTTTAATTTTTTTCTCTGTGTGTTTTTTAGGGGAGGGGAGCATACCACACCTCGATCCGACACTGCAATTACATCAGTAACATATTCAACAGCTTGAATTACGCATCTGATTTCTTAATTAAAACATTTACGTCACTTTTCGTTGCTTTTACTGCATTTTAAAAACATTTTAAGAGTATTTTGTTGATCATGTTTCGCAATGTTTTAGGTCATCAAAATCCGCCCCTTAGTTATTATAAACTTCCTTATCGTAGGGATACTATATACTGTGAGTCAAGTGGGATCGGCACATTAAGATAGTTTAAATTCAAAATTTTTTGGTAGAATGTGTCCTATTGCAGATTATGTAGAATGACGACCGCCAAACAAAGCTCATGCTGCAATACAATTTTATTCGTTTTAATAATTATCCCAAAATATTTTTACTGAGTAGAGGGAAAGTTATGTAATACTGCTCGAATAAACGGCCAATTTTCGGCTGAAAAACTCGTATTACAGGTCCCTGGTAACGAAAAAGTGGATTAATCTAGTTGCTAAATTTAGCAAAAATCCTCTAACACGTGGTGTAGCCAGAATCTATGTTTCGTGGGT